ATCAAATTTTTAGTCAAGTCTGCCGAAATCATTTGCGACGTTTAAATCGGTGTATTCAGGTTGGAGGAAGACATTTTAAATAATTGTTGTGATATCAAAATTAAATGCATTAAATCGTATTTAGGCAATTCGTCGTCTTTCTAAATTTTAACGCGTCTTAGGGCCGTAGTGCCCTAGTGACACTTTTCCGGATATGGGTCCCTATACTCAAATGTTTTCTACTATTACACTGAATAACCCCTAGAAGTTTGATCTCGTAGTTCTGAAACACTCTATATATTATCTGCCTTCCAACTGACAGCTCACTTTTTTTTGCATTCCATTAACAGCCCAAATGGCACGGATATTATCTAAAAAACCTATAAAACGTAAAAAAAAAACAGTAAGGTGTCATCTCGCAGACTAGGCAGTTGTTAGGGTGCAAATAGTTCATTCCACGTTTGCTCGCTATGACCGCTGTGAGCGTCCATTTATGGAGGAATGACTCCACCACACGCATTGTTGGTTGCATATGTTTTGAGAAGCCGAGTAGCCTATAGTTTTCATCTCTGAGAAGATGTGAATGAATAGCAAGATCGCATTTGGATGATTATGTGTATTGGTCTGCATGTGTAAAAAATCAGTGATATTTGCTGTGTGAGAAAATTATTACCGAATGTGCTGCCAAGAATATCTTTTAGCTGTGCCCGACAGGTTATTTATAATGTTGTCCTTTCCGAAGACAAGTTATGTTCAAAGTTATAAATTACGATTTTTCCTCTTTTGTGTGTTTCCAAAAACTACGATAAATCGCCACCACGCCATCGTTGTGTGCAACTAAGCCACATCACAAAAAAATTAGTAACTACGCATCATACATGAAATATTTTCTCAATGCCTGACATCTAATCGCTGATTTGTATTTTCTATTGACATCGCAAAATAAATTTCTATGTTATATTCAAATAAACCAGAGATTTTCTTTTGTTATCTCTATCATTTTTGAAATTCAGCAAATTTGCATATGCAATTTCCAGAATGAAGTGGATGCGCAACTAATTTCTAGCTTTGAATCTTAAGTAAGTGAATTTGAGATCAGAATCCCATAGAATTATCATTAACACATATTATTAGCACACAAATCCTCACTATACACCCATGCATTGCCGTTTCCTTTTAGCTATAGTACACAACTTACAGCTTAGACCTCCAGTAATGCCATCTCTGAAGCAGATTTTACAATTACATCAGAGCCAAACATTGATAACTGAAGCATCATGCCACCTAGGCAACACGTACAACTACAAAAAGAGTTCACAAGTGTCCATCAGCTAGTGCTAAGTTAACATCTTGAAGAAAAACCTATGTCACAAAAAACCAATACAATGTCAAGAAAGTCGACATAATGTCACTTTTCGAGATACGTAATACCCGTGCAGCACTGTATCGTAGCGACAAAAACAAATGAACTATCGTTGTCATTCTTGATGTGCTTTGAAAAAGGCCACTGATGTGGTTGAAACGTTAGTGAAGTTTCTGATGTTATATTGTTGGGGTTATGGAAGTCGACAGTCTATGTAAGCCAAAACCCTATTTTGATGTGCCGATCTTAGCTGTGTGGTAAATCGTAGACAATTATTGGTACAAATTAATATGTTCTTCTAGAGTTAAAGAGTAGTCATAAGAAGCTTCAAAATGAAGTATCACATGACCTCCTACCATTAAAAAAAATGTTACAAGATAATGCCGCGCTACCATCCTGAAATTTTCAGCTTTTATCTCAACATTGAAATAAAGTTTCCATGCGTCGATTTCATCAACCCACATTTCAGCTCGCTAACTTGACCCTTTCAAAAAATAAATCGGGGGGGGGCTTTCTGAAAAGCACTGTATATCTGTTTTTCATCCAGATATAATGACATGACGCGACAGGGTAACATACCTACATGCTTGATATAATAAACAATTGTGTTTATGCGCGAACGGCGACGATGCTCCCTACAGATAGTTATGCTAATAAGAACATTAGGTGCTCGCAGACAATGTCATCGTCGAATCTTGATCAACGCTCGCCCACGAATATTAACCAGCTCGAGAAGAGGGACACAATGCAACATCATCTACAGACAGGGCTGTATAGGTACCTAATAACATTAATAACAACGCCAAGATGTGCTGGTAGGTGTGTTGGTTCTCCTTGTCATATTGTTATGGATATGAATAACAAATCAGTGGGTTGAGATTTAGGTGACACAGGACATCATTGCTGTGCCACTATTGTACAGTACTTTGACCCAAAATTAAACTATATATCACGATAGAAAGGCATCCAGGAACACCTTTGATGGACGAATGATAAATGATGAATCTATGACATCCTAACATGACGTTCAAAAAATGAACTTTGAGAGTATCTAGAAGCTAGGGTGTTAACAGATTAGGACAGATTGTTGAGGGCTCCTAAGGACCTCTGTTACAGATTTGCGCAGAGCACTGGTTAATAATCCTGAGGCGTCTTCCTTGGATGGAGACACACATGTTCAGGAAGTCTTGCAGCTCATCGAGCAAGACATGGTCGAAATGGTCTTGATTAATCAGAATGAACAGGAAGCAAATGATGACAATGGGGTACCTGTTGTCCTCGCATGCATCCTTGTAGAATCTGTCAACTGCTGTGTCCTGATCACAATGAAGTCTGTGCAGCCTGCCGCACCATCATGAATGACGTTATGGAGTAACCTAAAACCTCCATTGTTCCATGGGTTGATGAGAACCTGAAACTCGTTTTATGATCACAAAGCTATTGGAATCTACACATGCTCACAATAAATAATTATCTAAGATCCCAAGGCTGCTGGATATTTCTTATTTTTCGAAAGACAAAACGTGCGGTATGGAATAGCGTTTATATACGAGGTCTGTAATTGAAGTGATGAGACTGACAACGTAGCGTCCGATCTGGAGGCGCCGGCTTGGAGGGGAGACAGCGGAACATGTGTTCCGCTTTCATTACAAGTTTGAACTCGATCGAGTCATTTTCAGAAGGGAGAGAGTCGAGTGAAGATTAACCACGAAGCGGAATGCCTTCGTCTTTAAGAACCAATGGAAATATCGACAGAATCCGGGACCTTGTGCATTCAGATCGTCGGTTGACAGTCAGAGTGATCGGTGAAGAGTTAAGTTTGACTCACACCATCGTTCATCAGATCAGGAACAACTGGGTGTAGCATCATGATAATGCTCCTTGTCACCCAGCAATGTCAATAAACGAGTTTTTGGCTAATAAAAACATTCATGTGCCTTCTTATTTGTTTGAATTGACACCTTGACTTTTTTCTCTTCGCGAAGGTGAAAATTAACCTCAAGGGACAGTCGAAAACATTCACAATTTTAAAAATCAGTCTCATCACTTGTGTACAGACCTCTTATACTTTTAACACCCACGTATCCGCTAAGTTGAGTAGTAGTCCGATTTGCTGGTACAAGCTGAGTAAAGATTTAGTAAAAATGAGACCAACTTTAGTTACATTGTGATGGCTGATTTTAACATGTGCTTTGTAAAAGGTTATTTCAAAGTAATATTCAGCACTGCTAGACTTTTACCTCCTACCATAACTTCTGCCAGACACTTTGGTGACCCGCTATAAATTGCTCTCACTCTATATACAACAATTCTTTCAATGTTATTTATATTCAGTTATCGAATAGTGTCCCGTAAAAAACTATCCTATTGGATTTTCTCATCGCCATGTATGCAAAAAGCCTAGCATGAAAATACTATTACATCACATAATTTTCATATGAAACTTTTTTCTAAACCGTTATAACGACAAGTGAGGGAGAGGTCAATTTACACCCTGTTTAAATCGTCTGGCGGAAATTATGATCGGTGGAAAGTGTTTGGCCGTTCTGAATATTACTTTATAATAGAATTAGGAGAAAAATTAGATTGTTCTGCTAGACATTAAGGAGTTATATACACGAATCTAATAAATAACTTTTGTATAGGAACTTTTTCACACTATGTTTCATGTTAGTGCACGGCCGCATTGTGGTCTTCTGTCTCGTGCAGTTATCGGTACTAATCTAACGTTTCAGAATTCTTGCAAACTGCCAAATATTAGTTGCGATAGCAACCGCCAGTGCATAGAGGTGGATTGATTTCTGATACAAATGTATAAGCTTTGGACGAACCTGCGGTTCGGACTTCTACCCTGCCTTGCACCTTGATATAATGAAGTAATTTACTATATTCTACGGCATCATATATGTATATTTCAAGAATCTAGATATGTTTCTGTTATTTTTGTGCAGTTTATTTGTCAGACTCCACTGAACTTGAAACGAATCACATAAATTACGTTTCGATGCGCTACTGTTAAAAAGGAATTTTGTTATAACGATTACAATTGTATTCTAAGATTGTACAAAAATATCCAGAAGTAGTTCGAGTCATTTGTTTTTCCTGGAATTTAATTCTATAATCTGAAAGACGACTATGTCAGTTTCAGAGCTAGGGAAAAATGCCAATGAACTAAAAAAATTATTGCCATTACGCTGGACATTAAACGTATCAAAAAGAGCCAGGGAAACTTTCGTATGAATTTAAACATTTTTCGCAGACATTTGGTATACATTAAGATTTAGGTGATACTGTCCAAAATTGAATCTATTTTCCATGAGTCAAATGAGCTTTTTCAAGAGTGTTAATAATAAAGCTCATTTCCGGAGTAATATGGCTGCTATTACGAGGGTGACTAGAATTTCAAGGAACATGTTTTTGTGTGGCTAAAATTTGCATGATCCAACTTTTTCTGCTAGACTGCTTAACGTTCTTGGCAAGCGTTCATACGAGTTTTCGTTGTATACGAGGGATGTTTTTTAAGTTTTGCATATAGAAACATAGTAGGCCGCGCGGATCGAACCTCACTCTTTAGTAAACTTAAATTCAAAGTTTCACAACAATACGTGCAGTGTTCTCACTACAGTGAATTTTTAAGTGTCACCAAGTCATTAGAAAAATGGAACTCAACCGAGAACGTTTTCGCGCCATAATTTATTACAACTTTCAGAGACAATTATCGCACCAAGAATGCCTTGCTGAGTTACTGCTTGTTTTCGGCAACGAAGTGCCACATCAGTCGACAATCTCCCGTTGGTATGGAGAATTCAAACGTGGACGTGTCGGTCTTAGCGACGATCCCAGGGTGGGTGCACCAAAAACGGCAGTCACCCAGGAAGACGTGTGCGCAAACTCATCATTGAAGATAGACATGTGACATATTGCGAGATTGAGCCGTCCTTGAAGATCTCAAAGACGTCAATTCAAAAAATTTTACATGAAGAATTAGGAGTAAGAGAATTAGTTTCTGGTTGGATACCCCACCTGTTGACTGAAGAGCAGAAAGCAATCAGGGTTAATTGGTGTCAAAAAACGCTTGACCGTTTCAATTCCGGAAACTCAAAAAATGTGTACAGCATTGTTAGTGGTGACGAATCGTGGATTTACTGTTCTGAACCAGAAAATAAACGACAGTCGGCTGTTTGGGTGTTCTAAGGTGAAGAAAAGCCAACAAAATCCGCTCTCGAAGTGTTTCGAAAAAGGTGGTCGCGCCATTTGTGTCAAAAGCGGGTCATATTGCAACAAGTCCTCTTAATGAGCAAAGAACTGTTACTGCGGATTGGTATACCACAATTTGTTTGCCAAAAGTCATCACCTAGCTTCGAAAAATCAACCCCGAAAGAAGAATCATCCTCCACCAAGGCAATGCAAGCTCGCACACAGCCCAAAAAACAAGGCAGTATTTAACGGAGGAAAACGTGGAATTATTGGACCATCCTCCATATAGTCCCGATCTAACTCCTAACGATTTCTCTACTTTCCGGAAAATTAAAAACAGACTGCGTGGTCAAAGGTTCCAGTCACCAGAAGAAGCATACAAAAATGCCGTTTTGGATCTGCCAGCAAACGAGTGGAATAAGTGCTTTGAAAATTTTTTCGAGCGCATGCAGATTTGTATTAATCTTCGTGGAGAATACTTCGAATAACAATAAAGTCATTTAAAACTACCTACCGTGTTGTTTTATTTCCATATGCAAAACTTAAAAGACATCCCTCGTACTGCAAGAATGAAACCTTACTGACTCAGAATGCGGTGGCAAATCAACAAACAGCCCGTCGCCACCGCCATCTATAAAAAATAGTTGCAGTTTTTCTGTTAACGTTGAATAAAAATTTTCATATCTAGAAGTTCATCACAAATACAGCCTGCCTCATAACGAATCCATTAAAATGTTTTATTCCCTTTCGCGATCCAATTTATAGTTTCAGCAGAGCGGTGGTGCTAGGGTTGATGAACTTGCGAATTTTAAACAGCGCCCGCAATTAAAAAGTCTCGTTTCATTCCTTTTTTCGTTATTGGCTTTTCACTCCATTTTCTATACGATTCTCTCCTCTCGAAAGCAGTCACTATTCCGATCTCTTAATTCAGTCGGCACAATTAGTGGTTGATATCGAAGCGAATCATTTTCCCATGACCGCCTGACTAACTCATTGCCTTTGGCTACATCCCAATAAAGGAAGATTCGAAGTTAATTTTGGGAGCGATATCGGTGCGCTATGCCAGAATTGGATTGGGTAGAACAGATTGTACGAATTCAATGGTAATAGAAATTGATATACCCGTATCAAACCTGCTTGTAATGTCTATTACGTCAAAGTTATTGTATACAACTTCATCAATTGCACTAATAAAAGTTAGAGTTGACATTCACATTGGAAATTCTTCACATTCAGTAGTGATGTCTGGGATATGTTTCCGACCACAATTTTTTACATTTATTCTTTTGGTTGACAATTGAAAGAGTTTTGTACAAATGTACACATACGAAAAGACGGAAGGTGCGAATCTTGCAACCCTTTAATGGAAACTCTGTAGTACATGATATCCTTGATTAAATGTTGCGTTCTCAATTTTGAGAACATCACACTAGATGCAAGAAGTGCAAAGACTGAACTCATTATACCCACTCCGTACGATACACATGGCCTTGGTGTAATCAGACATATTTTGGTAGCATGTTGTAGGTACAGATGAGCTTAGTTAGTCTGGCATAAGGTGAGCCACGGAGCATGATAAGGTACGCTGTAAAAAAGATAAACTCTAGTTTTCCTTCCCATTTCCTACATATGATGAGCATATACAGGGTGTTTGGCAGGTGGAAGAAGATTAGGCTATATGACATAGTTTTTAAATACCTGACAGTGTGTGTTTTTTCTCCGAAGGTAGAGAAAAGAAAAACAAATTTACTGTAAACATAATCCAATAAATACATGTTTTCCTATTTTTATGATACTGATAAGAAGGAACGTGCTTGCGTGCATGATAAAGCTCAATTCCACACATTCTTGCTTTATTCCTTCCCAAACAAGTCAATAGTAATTCATGAATTTCACTCCAAAAGCCCTGAATAAATTTGTTTGTAAAATGGCCGCTTTCAGTAACGAAGAATACGCTGATATCGTTACTTGAATGGCAGAACAGATGGTAATGGACTAGAAGCACGACGGTTGTACCAAGAGCGATTTCCTGGGAGAAGATTGCCTAATGTCAGAGTGTTTTCAATACTTACCGACATCTTTTCGAGACTGGAAGTGTAACACAACACTACACTACAAGTACTAGGAAAGTTGCTGCTGATCTTGGTTTGTCGCCATGGAAGGTTTGGAGTATCATGCACCGTGAACGAAAATATCCTTTTCATGGTATCGGCGTACAAAGACTTGAACTTGAAGATGTGATTCTATTCACAGAACCCAATTTTGTCGTTTTCTCTTACATAGTGACCTTGAGAATGTACGGTTCCTGGAAAGCATTCTATGGACGGACGAGTCCAATTTTCCAAACGAGTGCATTACAAATTTTCACTATTTGCATCAATGAGCTGATAAGCAGGAAAATCCACAATGGAAAAAACAGGAATTCCAGCACAAATTGTCCGTTAATGTATGGGCCGCCGTCATGGAACAAAGATTAATCGGTCCTCATTTTCTGCCTGGAAGATTAAACGGCGACAGTTATCTACACCTTTTACAAAATAATCTACCCGAATTACTTGTAGGAGTAGAAATTCCAAATGACATGCAAATTGTTTCCAACACGACGGATGTCCAGCTCATTTCCGTTTAGACGTAAGACAATATTTGGACGATACTTTTCCAAATACCTGGATAGCCAGAGGTGGACCAATTCCGTGGCCTGCTTGAATTTCGGACTTGATACCATTTGATTTCTATGTCTGTGGGCGGGCTAAACAGCTGGTTTACACTGAAGAGATCGTATCAAGAGACCATTTGTAAGAAAAATTCGAGAAGATTTTTATTTAATGCAGCACGACAAGTTATTAAATACAACAACTACCGAAGTATAATATAAAGCATGATTCAATAGTTTATTTTGTTTCGTTTACTGATTTATGAGTTAAATTTGAACATCCGATTTCTCGAAAACCATAAGACTTTGCGCTGAGGTATGTTTGGCTTAAAAGGCTCTAAATGGTCTACCATATCCCCTCCCCAAGACTTTGTATCGACCATCCAAACACCCTGAATACTGGTTTATCATAGGAACAAAATATGCGGCTCGTACTTGAAAACGACTAGTAGAAGTAGTCGGTAGTAGTAATTTCAAGAATCCAGCAGCTAGAGTTTAAGTTCTATTTATATATTGGTGAAAAGCGGACCCAAGGCCCAATGTCATGTGAATTTCGTATAATCTAAGAATGTTTGATGACAGAACTACTTTCTTGTTTTGAAGAGACATTGCTCATGTAATTTTATGTCTTAAGTATGTGATTATGTGATGTTTTGGGAAATTAGTTTACATTCTTATAAGTTCTCAGGTGGTTATTGCAACATTTCAAGGCATATATATGTATAGTCGTTCTCCACGAAGACGTTTTTTGTGATGCGAACGAGGACACTGATTAATATTCTTACATTACCAATTTTTATAGTTATTATTCACATCAGGATATTATTGCAGCGCTTTATGATCCGTAATGTTATTTATCTTCGTTTCTGTAATCTTATATACTATTGACTATTATTACATATATTAATGGTATTTTATTATTGTACATTGCATGCGATTGCTGTTTATGTTTTCGATCTGTCAATTGCCTTTATGACATCAGCATATTTAATGATTGTTTCATGATGATATATTCGCCTTTCGCTTGGTAAAACCTTTGTAACATTCAAACTAATATTCTGAGACCGAAAACAACTGGCGTCCACAGCCGGCTCGGCACTTCTATTCGAATTTCAAGCGTTATCATCAACCAACGGCATTATGACATTTCAGCTAATAAGAGTGCGACTACATCAGATTTTTGTATTATTTAAAGTAATTGATTTGAAGCAGCCTTGAAAACTTTTAGGAGAGATACAGTTGATTCAGGAAGTGTGACAACTAAATTAGTGTGTAAGAGTAATCACCAGACTCAAGAAATGTGGAACATCTGAAACTTATTATGTGAATGTTTCGCTGACCTGTCTCCATGTCCTTAATTGTACTAGGAAAAAGGCCACAGAGTCAGTAAGTAAAATTCTATTTCTACTTTTCACTGATCGTTCATTGTATTTGTTATATATATTGGGTCTTTTTGATAAATACAGTAGAATGATATCAGATACCTTGATTAATTTAACTAACTAGACTTTATTTATGAAATATATTACCTATACGATTTCTTTTGAGTCAAAGTTTTTAAGTATATCGTAATCGTCACAGAGAAATTATGAAATGCTGAAAATATGGTTTTTAAACCTCAATGCCTTTCAGAAAACGATATTTATCATCTGCTGTCTATGCAGTAAAGATAATTATAATATCAACGGACTACAATTTATAAATACAATTACTAAACGACAACACAATGTTTTGATGAACTGTTCTAAAAAAGCAGCAGCAACCCAACTAGTTGCCTTAACGGCTGCTTGCACTGTCGTCACTAGTCTGGTTGTAGTTGCCCACCAGTTAATCAGTGATGTCATCTGTGGATCCTGTGTGTGGATCTGTGTGATACTTCAGTTAACGTTGTTGTGCCCTCAAAGAATCATTGATAATTCAATAAAATTCAATACAGTTATTAAAAGTGTGACTGGCAGGCTAATATACCTAGAAATCCAAAGATCACTGACGAGGTATACGTATGTTAGAAAGAGTGCGTCGATGGCAACACGGCAAGCCGTAGCTGCGTCCGTGGCCTCGTCTCTCGGATTGCTAGACAACGTGGTACGTCTGTCTCTTTCTAGCAGACGTATTGCGCGCTTCTCTCTCGTCCACATTACGACGTCAGTGGTATACGGATTTCCCTGTATTTACAGTGTACGAGTTATCATCAGACTCACTCAATACATTTGCATACAAGGTATAATTTTCCGCAAACCCTTCATCATATTTGTCATGTTCTGGGAGTTTTTGGTAAGCGGAATGAATACATACATATGTTGACTGATTGATCTGACTACATTTTTTTTTTATGAAATATGTTACTTATTCGATTTTCTTCCAGTCAAGGTATTTAACACGTTAAGCGTCATGGCGGTCCCGTGGGACCGCTTGAAAACGGGCCTATCACGCCACGGCGGTCCGTATGGACCGTTCTATATTTAATTTATTTCCACGCTGACTCCAGCCCGAGATCAATATCTAAATTCATTTTAGCGTCAAATATGGACCGCTGTGGCTTGTATGGATTATACTCATATGCATTAAATTTTTTTTGATTCACATCATTTATTTCCTACTAGAGGAAGAGGACTCTTTATACTTTATTAATCTCTCTAGCTTTCAATGGTCTTTGCCATCATCATCATTTTTCTCAATGTTATTACAGCTCCTGGTGATGATGGCAAAGACCATTGAAAGCTAGAGAGATTAATAAAGTATAAAGAGTCCTCTTTGCTAAAATTTTTGTCGAAGTACCCAACAACAGGCGGAAGCTTTAATTTTTCAACTATATACAAGTATACATACATATAT